TTTCATTATTTTCCGTCATTCGACGAATAGTAATTTAAAATTTTAATATATTATAATATTTAATAATATATTTTAATATAATATTTTATAAACTGACGAATACTTCGTTGCCGTTTGTGCGACGACTACAACGCCTATTAAGTCATTCTCTCGTATATCTGGTACCTATCTAAGTTATAAATAACATCCGATAAACTTCCGGTAAATATTAAATATCAACCGGATCAATCGTTCGGCCAAAAAGGAAAACGTTCTTTATCGTTCGATAGCCGATTATCGTGCTCAAATTATCTTTCGATTACATTTGGCAACGTTGGAAAAAATAAATAAATATCAAGCGTTCTCAATCGTGTTACCAAAAATAACGTTCTCAACCGTAACGTTCTCAATCGTATTTTACCGGGAGAAACAGAGCATATAATGCACCTGTAGCCTACACAAATACCTCGTTTGGTCAAAGATTTCTGGATTATCTAGGTCCTACTTGTTTCAATTCCATGAATAATGAACTAAAAAATAAAATTAGAGTAACATCTAACTGGGCGAAATCAATAGTATCTGATTGGCTGTTTAACAATCTGGATAAACTTTAATTCACGAACTAGGGTTTCTAAAATATATAGTAAAAAATAAAATGATTAATAAAATTATTGTTAAATGTTTTTATGATTATTTTTATACCTAGTTTGTTCTTTATTTACGTTTTGTTTCTGATATTGTATGTTCTATTTTATATCCTATTTTTCTTTCTATACTTCAGATCAGATATGTTTGTATATTATTAATGCTATGTCTATATAATATAATAATTTATAATTAATTTTATCGTTTTGTAACTCCTTATCACCAATACAAGCATAAGCTTACAGGAGATGGATAAATCAATTTTTATTTTTATTTTATATGTTATTCTGTCAAACATATTTCTGATTAAACAAAAAAAACATATATATATATATATATATATATAAATTAACATAATGTACTAATATATAAAGCATTAAGTTAGTGTATAATGTATTTATATTTTAACTGGTAGTTTAATACTTATTCCAATTATAGGTTATTATATTATAATAAGTACAGCATACTTCCTCCACCATAGTATTTCTCAAATAAGTTTTCAAACCTTTGAGCCATGAAAACATTCTTTCTGGTGTGGCTGTTGATAACAAACAAATTAGGAAATAATTCACGATTACACAACTTGATAGCATCAAGTCCTTGTTTTGGAGATTTTCTTAAGCATAAAAGTTTTGTATGCCATAAACTCAGTTCCGCTTTTTCAGTTTGAACATAAGTAGGAAGGTAAAGATGTACTAAATCACCAAAACCCTCAGATTCATGATCATTCGAAAATAAACATTGAAAACCTTGAAAAGTTATTGTAAAATGTGGCTGTTGATAACAAACAAATTAGGAAATAATTCACGATTACACAACTTGATAGCATCAATGAGAAAGAGAAAGAGAGATTTACAATTTTGTGTGCGCATGTATACCCGACATTCACGGGTATACAGCTCTAGAGACGGTGTTAGTAAGTTTCGCTGTCCTTTGTCACGAGTCTACGAGACCCACATATACATAATATATAGTATATACATTCGTACAACATCGTATTTTTAGTCTTCCGCAACTCTAGTCTCATATTGACAATATGTAAATATGATCTATTTTATATTACACTAATATAAACGCGTTTAAAATTTATGCTTAATTTATTTATATTTTTAAATAATTTGTCATATTTGTTTGGTCATGGCCGGAAACATTTTCGCATTGTTACTGATGGGTAGTACGGTATCCACAGCCATCGAGCTAACGTTCTTGGGTTTCGTAGTTTTCCCATTCAACGATGACAAAAGTTTTTTCCTCAACACTCGCTTGACCTTTACTGGCCTAGTAAACATAATTGTATTTTCAATTGAACAAAATTGAACTAATTTATCCACGCTTTTACTTACTGTTTTTCAGCTGGATAAGTTAGTTTCGTTCCGTCCTCCTGGTGTAATGTTGTATCTCTCGGCAATGAAACAATGGTCGGAATTGCTTTTAAAACACGTTTCACTGGTTTTATCTTCTTCGTTTCAACTTTATTCACGGTGGTGGAATTTGGATTTCTCACCCCTGGTGACTTCTTGTTAGAGTGAGGCTTTTGTATTTTGATTAACGGTTGTTTTGTGGCCATGTTTTTTTTCGTAGACGGTTTTTGAGCCGGTGTTTTCGCGACCGATTGCGAGATCAATTTTTTAACAGCCTTTTTTGGGGCATTCAGTGCTTTCTGTTGTATTTTGGGTTTTGCTTCCGTGACCGCATTTGTCGCGTGGTTGGTTCCAACGTTCACCGACAGTTTTCCAATATCATCAGTTTGTTTTTCTGCGACCTTTCGGTAGATTTTCTTAACTACGTGTCCTTTTCCATTTTGAGTTTTTTTCCTGTCACCTGAAACCAGTTTGACCTTCGATAATTCACTCATTGTTTGTTTTAGTATATGTTTGGTTTTAAAAATCGATTGAATAATTTTTCGTCTAAGACTGAGTATTTCAACTTTGTTTAATTTATTCAAAATATGTCACCATCGTTAGCAACAATGACCAGCCAGCTACACGTTTCAATAACGGTTTAATTTTCAAACAACGAATATTTTAATTATTTTCCAAAAATAATTTCTACAAAAATGTACAGTACCTAGGTGCATTTTGGTACAGATTGGTATGTATCCAGCCCATCGAGATTTTCACTTCTATAAGCGGCCAATTTACATATTCAGTGGCCTAAAATTAAGTCTATAATTATTACGAGCTTATAGGTGGTCAATCGTATTTTAAACATGAATTTATTTTCACTCACACTCACACGACCGGCCCAAAGTTTAAGCGGCCCACCGAGATTTTCTCGGCAGCTCGCTTAACCAATCCGGCCATGGACTAGATAGCATACGACACGCAGGGCCGTATTCAGAGCAGGGCAAGAGGGCATGGGCCAGGTTTGCAATTCTTAGAGTTCTAAGAGGGGCTCAATTTTCAATACTACTTATGTAATATTTTTCACGTAATATTTGAAAAATGTATATTTATTTTAATGACTTACTATAGAAGAGCTTCGATCTATTTTATTATATAAAAATTATTTATGTTGATGTCTGTGGTGGAAATACATGAGCGAGTCTTAACCGGTTTCTATTATATTTTTACGTAGGTATGATTTAATATTGATATGCGAATCATATCATAAAATTCTTTTTTAAATCTTAGATTTTAAAATGTAATATAAGATTCCTTATAAGATTATCTATCTTTATCAAAAAAAAAAAAAATGTCTACAAGCAAATAAATTAAATTTTTATGAGCGTTTGAAATTCAAATTTTTACAACATTGGATATTCACTCAATTTCTCATGTAGCGATTTTCTTATTTTGGTGTAATTTAAAAACGAGTAACTGTAGATACATGGAAATTTCACTGAATGTTTATTTTATCAATTTTTGTACTTGATACAATTTTCAAAATATTTTTACTTGTTTTGAGCTGTTTCCGGACAATTTCATATTTCATATTTCAATTTTTTTATATTTTTTTTTTTATGAATATCATTTAAGTTTTATCTGTTGGGCCAAAAAGTGTAAAAATTTAATACAAGGATCCTGATATATTGTGAGGGTAATTGAAAATTCTAAAGTATACTATTATATATCTATTATAGTATCACGGTTTGTTATTGATGTATAACAAGTTATAAGTACCTAATGACTATTGCGATATGATTAATTTGGAATTTATTATAGGTAATTTTTTTAATATCATAGATAAATATATAATATGTCTTATACTTAGACTGACATACCGTCTCCTCTCAGAATCGTTTTTCTTCTACAATTATATTATATCAATTTGAATTCAAAATTAACACCATCCATTATACAGTGGCCCAATTGTAACCTACTGTACGGCAGAGCGACTTTTTCAATTTAATATTTAGAATAAAACAGATTGAAACAAATCGAAAGCGTTTAATCCCAATTATTGAATGCATTATGTTATGCGGCCAACAGGAAATAGCATTAAGAAGTCATAGAGATTATGAGCCTATTTATTTCAGTAGTATGTACATTTAACATTATATAGTTAACACATTTTAAGTCTCAAGTAGAAATGAAAAAAAAAATGCTTTACAACTAAAATTAGTAATTGGTAAATTAACATAGGTACTTATATTCCTACGACAAATATATCACTAAATAGTATAACACTACCTAATACAAACATTAATATTTACATAAATATTGAAGAATCGTGATATTATGTAATGCTGAGTAACATCAGTTACATTGTAAAAAAGGAATTTGTTCCATTGTTAGAAATTAATTTTTATTCATTTAGAAAAAAGCACAAAGTAATTAATAATTATTAGTTTCTTCGAGTTTTTTATACAATACCTTTGTTGATACTTAAAAATGGTTTTTTGCATTGGTCATATAACATTAAATAACGCTATTTCTGAATAATACAACATACTTAAAAATAATAATTAAAAATCTGTACATTTTTCAACTATATTATTTTATTCAACAAAAAAACAAAAACTACAGTTTTATTTATTTTAAAAATCAATAATTATTCTTTGCAATAAATACCAAATTACACTTTAGATAATATATTTATTCATTTCTAAAATGAATAATTTTAGTAAGCTTTTGACGAATTTTGCATGAATCGTTTAACTTTCTTATTTCATGAAAAATTCTTATGTTGAAATATTTGAGACCAATTGTTTTTATAAGAAAATATTGGTGGGTTTCAAAATTGAGTAAATCTAAATGTAGGTTATGATTTACACATTCCATTTGATTAAATATTGATACATCAATATTAGTTTTTAATTTTAGAACTAATATTTCTCGATCTCTTCTGGAGAATGCTACACTTTTGGAATATTTCCGGAAAACTTGTTCTGCAGTCTGACATATCTTCACAACATTTTTATTTGGTTTCTTAAGTCAGCCTCGGTCTTTGATTGTTGCTAGGTTACTAATTTGATGTGGTCCATAGATTTCTTTTATACAATATTGACACTTTAATTTAGTTTCCAATTTTTTAGCAATAAATCCGGCTATATATGAAGTAATATCTTCGATGAATGGACTTAAATTTGAGATACTGCTAAATAGTTGTTCATCCGATATTGAGATTAATAAATTATTTTCCTCAATACTATTTGGAAGGTGAGTCTGCGGAGTTGTAATTGATGTTATTGATGTAGAGTCTAAAATTGAGCAGTTTCCATATGGTGAAGTTATAATTTCATTGTGTATTAACAACCTAATACACGAAGCCTGGAACTGCCTGCATGTGGGATTGTCGTTATATCCACCACGGCTTCTAAGAGCACTAAAAAATGTCTCTAAGTGATCTTGACTTAATTTGTACGTTATTAAATATGACAAATCACCTTTTTCTATTAGAACGTTATACAAGTCTAATGCATTTTTTAAACCCAAAATAAGACCTATGAATCCAGTTTTTCTTTTTGAATTGATTACTAGTGTACCATCTTCAAATTTTAATTGAGCAACATAAATTTTAAATTTTTCATAAAATGCTTCATATCTTTTGACATTACCTTCAGTAATTGCTCCATTGAAAGGTGTATTTGATAATTTTTTACGAGCATTAAGGATATCAAATGCATTGTTAAACATCAAACAAAACTCAGCAGTTGCATTGCATCCATCAAATGACGAGTCCTTTGTTTTGGTAAAAAGCAGAGCATCTGAAACACAAGTACTTAGTATTTGAGCAGCTAAACGTACATTCATTTTATGATTTCCATAGTAAATATGTTTAGAAGTTAATTTTGTACCAGCCCTTGGACCTTCTTCCTTTTCTTTTTCATATAATTTTGATATATACTCCCATTTGATCATTTCGTTTTTACCATTTATAATATTTTTTTTGTCGCCCAAAGTATTTTGAATGAGTTTAATCATATGCGCTGGATCATAGAAAGCAAGTACTTTTTCTTTTGTGATAGGGTTCAAAAAAAAAGGTATTGCATTTTCTAGTTCAAAACAAGCTCCTAATGAAGTGCACATAGATGTATTTACATGTTTTCCATCAAATGTTACTGAATTTATATTGGCTCCAGTTTCCGAAATCAGTTCTATGGCCTTTGTTAAAGATTTCCTCGTTCTGCTCCTTTCATTCCATCAATCAAGAAGTATGGTATGGGTAATTTCCAGTAGTCATTCAGGCCAACCACTAGAAAAAACAAGTGCATTTCTAGCAAGTGGAAGATCATTTCCATCATCTGTATGTTTTCCAGTACCCAAATCAATGTATCCAAAAACGTTATTTTGGGTGCCTACTTCTCCATGCTTCTTGATGCACATCTCATCTACAGTAAGGTTGCAATAAACAGGAACAGCATCGCATTTATCTTTTAACACAGCTTCATGTGTAAATCCTGGTTTACCATTGACAACTGTTTACTGTACCTATACCATTTACGTAACGTTCGAGGATGAGGTAACATGTTTTTAAATGTTTTACATACGTATGTGTACGCTCGTGGAGAATAGTATTGAAGGGTTACTGCAAATTTTCTCAGCTCTGGACAAAACTTTCTTTTCTTGAAATTTAAAATATCTTTAACAATATTTTCTAATATATCTGACTCCAACGCCTAAAATATATAATAGAATATAAATATTATAACAGTTATTACCAATATTTATTTAAATATTATCTAATTTGTTAGTAATTCAGATAATACTTAAATAAAATTTAATAATAAATGTTGTAATATTAATAAACAATTATAGTAATAACTAATAGGTATTGGAATTAACTATTGATAAAATAAAAAGATTTGTTTGTCGACATAATATATTTTGTTTGTTTTAATTATAAAAGTAAAAAATGTTTTAAAGCTTGCCTGTGCGATCACACTTACATCAGACAAGTTGACGCGGCTACGGCGGTGGTGGTCTGGTGTTCGCCGTGGGCAGGTCGTGTAGCGCCGGTGAGTGGCGCGTAGGTACGATATGAATAAAGTATACACCAGGATTAACAAGAGGTCCCTCGTGGAACGTATATTGTTAGCACTTATAACAATGATGATGACACAATAAAATACAATACGACTATTAATGTCGGACTACAAACGGTCGTCACGTGGTCCGTTGCGAGTTACGGAGGGTCGCGTTGTCGCCGTACGTGGGTATTCGTGAACCGTCAGTGGTCGAGAGAGAGAATTGCCGGCGGCCGGTACTCGTATTGCGCGACTTGCCTTCCCGTCCCGCCTTGTGCCTTTGTGGCGTGGTGGGAGAGTTGGCGATGTCGCGCTGTAGCCCGTGGTGGCGGTTGACAAAAGCGTAGACCGGCCGCTGCGGTACCTGTACTTTGTACTGGTTGCCGCTGCGTACCGTGTCATACTCCCCTGCCAAACCGCCACACGGGGTACACTTGTACTAGTGCCGGTGTGTCGTTACGGGGGTGGCTTGTACTACCTCTGGCTTCCGCTTGAGGTAGACTCGCCCGCGCCCGTAGGTGGTGTTTATTCGGGTTTTGGGGACCCTACCGGAGTGTAGTACGTGGGGTCGTACTCCATCTCCGGCAACCCCTCAAACGCCACCAACCAATCCGCCTCGGTTATTCCGTCCGGGGTCCCTGATTGGTTAGGTGGTGTTTGGTCGGTAGACGTTCCCGGCTCCTCGGACTTTCGGTCCTCGGGCGCCGGTTTGTCTACCTCCATCGCTACCGGCGGTATGTGGTCGGTCGGTGGCACGCAGGCTGCTTCCGGGTTTGAGGTTGGCGCAGGTTGCTTGGCAAGCCGATGTCGTTGGCTTGCCTCGCTTTCCCTGGCCTTCCTCTTCTCCTTCAGCTGCTGGAACTTTCTGCGGTTCCGCGCCTGCTGTGCTTCCGTCCTCACCCTTACCGGCGGGGCGGGGTGTACCCCCGTTGACCTGGGTACCGGTGTCGGCTCCGCAGGTGTCACGGGGGTGGGTGTTGCGGGGCCAGGTGTCGGGAGGACCGGAGTGGTTGCTGGTGTTGGTGGCCGCGTCAGTGATGGGGTGCGGCTGCTTGGTGCTGAAGGTGGTCGCTGTGGCCGCAACCTCCGCTGGATGTCCGCTGTGCGGTCCGCCCAGCCCCGGTTGTAGATGGCCGCCCGCACCGGGTCCTGCAGGAGTTGGCGGGTCGACATCCTCGCGACCTGGGCGGCTGTTCGCGGCTCATCCTGGCCACTGGACACCAGTCCCAACCGCTGAATTAGGTCGGCCACCTGCTGCCACTTCACCTGTTGTTGTTGGTCGGCCATGTTATCTGTAAATGGGGATTAGTACAGACAAATGTTTATTTACTTTGACCTGTGGGCGCGCGTTTTAGACACGACACATGTATTTTTCGCGGCGGTTTTTGGTCGGTTAGAAAGACTCCTTTACCGACCTGCTTCGCTAGCCTTACCGGTCCCCACCACTTTGGTGCGAACCCGGCATGAAAATCTTTATGTGCCTTAGATAGGTGGTGTGCTTTGTAGTAGACTACGTCGCCCTTGCCGAACTTCACCGGTGTGCCGGTGTTCGTGCTAGGCTGTACCACTACCTTTTTGCCTATAATACGTTTGTCCCGTTCTACCCTCTCTTCCTGTGATTTTTCGATATTTACCGGTGCAATTTTAGATAGCGCCCAATCTCCGGGTCTCTTGCATTCCCTGCCTAGGACAAGGACCGCGGGTGGGTAGCATGTCTGTTCGTTGCACCTGTTCCGTATCGAAAAAAGAATTGAGGGTAGTTTTGTGTCCCAAGATTTATGTTTGCCGTCGACTAGTTGTGCGCGCAAACCTTTTTTTAAATCTTGATTACGGCGTTCGACTGGGTTGGCCCTCGGGTGGTAGACTGGGGTCGTCCAACCCTGTGCCCCCCAGCGTTCTAGTGCGTTTATCATTTCGTTTGACACAAACTGTGGGCCGTTATCACTGAGACACACGCGGGGGTAACCGAAACGCGAAAAGAACTCTCGCTCTAACGTTTCGATTATTGTTTTTGAGGTTGCTGTTCCTAAGGGGTAAGCCTCGGTCCACCTACTAAAACAGTCGGTTGCTACCAGTATGTACGATTTTCCCTTACCGGAACGTGGGTATGGGCCCATTAAATCGACACTGATGACTTCCCATGGTTGCCGGGGGGTTCTTGGTTGCATTGGGTCGGTGGGACGTGAGTTTAGTGGTTTCGTGCACGCACATACGTGGCACGCACCTACATATGCCCTAACGTCATTTTTTTGACCTTTCCAATAGTACCGTTGTCGAACCGCCCGGTACGTCTCTTTCCAACCCGGGTGGTTGGATAATACGTGATCGTGACACCTCCAAATTACGTGTTGTATTTTTGTTTTCGGTATCACGATGGGTGTGTGGGGGCCTACGTTTACGCGTAAGAGACCGTCGGAGAAAACATATGTGTTTGTTCCCGATTTTGTGCTCCTAGTGTTTCGCGTTGGTCCGTCCCACTTATGACCGGCGACTATGTCGCGGATCGCGGCGTCTTCGGACTGCCACTTTTCGAGCGTCGACGCGGTGAGTGGTGTGTCGTCACTGCCGTGGTTATCGAACATGGAGAATATGCGATCCGACTCGGGGTCAACATTGGTTGTCGGCGTTACAGGTGCCCCTACCAATTTTTCCTCGAGTCGATCTTCGTCTACAGGTGTGCCCGGTGCCGGGTCGCGGGATAACAAATCGGGTGCTTCGTTTTGTATTCCCGGGACGTGTACCGTACTAAAATCTAAATTAGCTAGTTGTAGTGACCAACGTGTTAATTTTGAATTTTTGTCTTTAGCCCTGTGTAACCATGTCAGTGCCGACATTTGTCTGGGCGTGTTCGCGTATCATTATTAGTCGTAGTGCAATCGGTCGAGCTGGACAATTGGTTCTTAACCGCGACGGGAACTGTCTGGTCGTCGGTGTCAACCGCCATGACCATACTGTCAACGTCGGTTGCCTCGTTGCTCGCCTCTTGCTTTACGTGCGCAGACTGACCTAATGCGGGGGTAAGCGTGGTGTGTGTGCTTGTATCCCCGTCACCTGTGCAGGTGAACACCCGTGTCTCTGTTGCCTTTGTCCCTACACCTGTGGCTGCCCCATGAGCCGGTTGTTGTTGAACACACGTGTCACCGGTGAGGTGAGTGTGTTCTGTGGTGGGGTGGTGTAGGTTGGGGGTCTGTGGACGGGTGCCGATTGGTGGTGAGACGGAAAAAATTTTCGTAGTTGGTTTTTCTGTGTGTTGAATTACCGAACTACGCGCTTTTCGATTACGTGTTTCTTTTCCGTGCGTACTACCGATAGTGGTTGGTGATGGGTGGGGGGGTGGTGTTGAGTCGATGGGGGGGACTAGTCCCCGTCGACTCCCCCGCCGTTTCCCGACGTGGTCGGTTTGTGTGGGCACTTACTGTTCCAGTGGTGTTCCCCACAATACCTGCACGGCCCCGGTGGGTGATCATCTGTTGGTTTTTTAAAAAATTTTTTTTTGACCGGGGCGGCTGTTTGTGGGGTATCCGCCCGGTTTTTGGGTTTTGGGGCCCATTGTTGGGGGGTCGGTTTGGTGCTGTCCGTTACCGGGTCCAAAACGCCTGCGATGCGTCGTAGCTCGTTGAACGTCAATGGCCGTTGTAGACGGATGTGTGTTCGGAAAGTGTCGCGCGTTAATCCTGCTATAATACCTACCAATTCCGACTCGGATAGGCCGGTATTTACGCGGCGCGCTTGCTGGTTTTTAACTAGCACAAATTCCGTTAGAGATTGTCTAGACGTTTGTCGTGTTGACACGATGTCGGCGCACAGTTGGGATTGGATTTCGGTATTGTTGTAATTTTCTAAAAACTCAACCCTAAATTCTTCCCAGGATAGGTCGAGTATTTTTATGGATGCGTACCATACACTCGCCGTTCCTTTTAACTGCGGCTCGACCGCCCTGCACCAGCCCGAGGGGTGTATACGAGCTTGCACCAAAATCGACTCGGAATTATTAATGTACCGTACGGGGTCCTCGGCCCTTGTTCCTGTGAACTCGGGTAACGAAGCTCTTGCTGTGCGCAAGTCGTCGTACGGTATTAGTACCGAGCGTTCATGCGCGCGTGCTTCGTACGGCGCGTATTGTGACGCGCGTGTGGTGTGACCCGTATAGTCATTGGTTTCGCGCGCGAAAAACGGTCGGTTGTTCGCGTCGGCGATGTGGCTGGCGCTGTGTTGAGCGCCGCCGTCATTGAGCTCATATGACCTACCCGACTGGTGACTATCGTGTGTACGATTTGGCATCTGTACGGGTGACGGGTGGTTATCTAACCGCGGGGCTGCTACACTGTTTGGCGGTTGGGTGGTTGCCTGGCGCGATTCTGTGAAGAACCGCGTCATGCTCGCTTCCAACGCCCCTAAACGTGCCTCGAACGATGTTGAGTCGTTCGTTTGTGGCAATATTAATTTTAACTGATGTAGTTGTTTCGCCGCGGTTTCGAAAATGTCGGTTGTTAAAAGTTGTGCGGACTGGCCCTGCTGCATGGTCGACTGGAAGCCGCCGATTTCTGGCCGGTTGTCTGTGGGTTTTTGACTTGCTGTTGGGCTTGTCAAAATTCCCCCAGGCGGTTGTCCGAAAATCTGGCTGGCGTTCGTGTTTTCCAGCGCTGATGTCATGTGTTGTTGTTGTTCAGTACTGCCCTGGAATCCAGGTACGTTTTCCAAGGCGCGACATGTCGCCGCGACCTGTCGCCGCGACCGACCATCGCGACTTGTGGTCGCGACGCATTTTTTCTGTTGTGTTTTACTAAACGCGACATGTCGCGGCGATTTTGGTAACTAGTAGCTACAAAGTACATAATGTTCATTGTTCAGTTGATCAGTTCACTCGCCAACCTGTCCACATACAGACGCGTGTGTGATTTTAATTATAATTAATACAGTTTTGTTTTAATCATTATGGAGATGTATATTAATAATAATGACATTTTGACTTTATTATTGGAAGAAGAAGATGAAGAAGATTTTATATTTTCCTATCTAAAACCAAAAAAAAAGCGAACAGATGATATGTTCAAGTACCGCGATACAGAAGGTTTTTACGAAGTGTTAGTTAATAGGCATTTAAAAAATAATAACATAAAATTTCGTGAATTTTTTCGTGTCAATATTCAACAGTTTGATTTTTTACTTTCTATGGTTGAAAACGAAATAACTTTACCACCAAGTAATAGAAATAAAAAACCAATTTCACCAGCAGAAAAGTTAGCGATCACACTAAGGTAAATTTAAAATTTTAATAAATTACACGTACAATTATTTAACTGGTTCTATTTACATTTTAATTTTTAATAGATATCTAGCTACTGGTGAGTCAATGCGTTCACTATCGTTTGGATTTCGCGTCAACTATAGTTATATAAGTGTGATAATCAAAATAACGTTAGCTGCTTTAAAAACGAAATTAATTCCAATTTTTATGCCTGACACAAAAACTATTAACTTTATGTCAAAAGCAGCTGAATTTTCTTACAAATGGAATTTTCCAAATTGTATTTCGGCTATTGATGGAAAACATATACGAATTCGATGTCCCAGTAAATCGGGATCACTATATCGTAATTATAAAGATTTTTTCTCTATAGTGCTTCTGGCAATGGTAGATGCCAATTATAAATTTATCGCAGTTGATATCGGCTCTTTCGGAAAAGAAGGGGATAGCGGGATTTTTTTGAAATCGAATATGGGAAAACAAATACTTAATCGCTCATTCGGCTTTCCAGAAGAATGTGCACTTCCCGGGTCAAATAAAGTAGTGCCTCATGTCATTGTGGGTGACGAAGCTTTTCGTTTGGATAAGCATATTATGAAACCCTACACAAAAAAAACGGCTACAGCCGATAAAACGAAAGCTATTTTCAACTACAGATTGAGCCGTGCACGTAGAGTAACAGAAAATGCTTTTGGCTTATTAAGCCAAGTATTCAGAATTTTCTACCAACCTATACATTTAAAAACAAGTACATGTGATGATCTTATATGGGTGGCTTGCTGTTTACATAATATGCTCAGAGAAGGATATCTGGAGAAAAATAAAAATCCCTATTATGAATATGAACCGGAACAAACGCCTCCTACTGACAATATAATTTCATTTTCACGATCTGGCGGTTTCTCAAATGCAGAAGGTTTTGGTGTAAGAGAAACATTCAAATCATTTTTTAACAATGAAGGAGCAGTATCGTGGCAAAATGATTTATAACTAATTACTTTAATGATTAAATTTGTTTACATATATTTAAAAAAAACTACCAGTTTTATTTCATCAAGTACGTAATCTTTACTAAGTATCTACATTCTGATATATTATATATAGTATATATTTTTATTATTATTACCTGTTTATATTTTACTTATCATTGAAAAAAAAAATAAAAATAATATCTACCAACTATTGTACGAAATAACATGTATTATTCCATAAAATAAACAATATTTTTAAATCATTAGTAAATATTTTTTATATTAAAATAGTTTACATAGTTGCATCATCCATATTATATAGATTAAAAGGTGAGCATGACGTAGTATCCGAATATACACTTGTTGATGGAGATGATTGATTCGTGGACACTGACTGTAAATACATGTTTTCTGACGGAATGTGAAGATGATGAGGTTGATGAATAGTTTGAAATTGAGAAATTGGTTGTTCTTGTACTAAATATTTTTCCTCCAACTCGGTCATTAATGCAAATATTTTTTTTTTTGCTTCAATTCTTCCCTTACTCGGAAATTTTTTAGCTGTTATAGCTAAACCTCTGAAAAACATGTCAATTTCGTCTAATTTTTCTTCCTCCCTCGTTAAAAGTTGCTCATTGCGTGCTTGTATTTTTTTAATCAATTCATTTCGTTCGTTTGATCGTTGAAGATATTGTGCAGGTATAAATTTAGATTTTTTAGTTGGCGGTATTTCAGTCGATAAACTATTTTCTCTGTCACTAAAAACTTCGTCATTTTTTTCTTGATCGTGAGTGGTAACCATTTCTTGAACCTCAGTGACGTTGGAAGTTGATCTATTAATTTAAAATAATATAAATAAAATATTCTTAACATTTTAAAATTGTTTTGGTTTTTAATTTTGTTTATTTTAGTGTGGGCATTTATTATTTCCTTGAAATGACGACGACGAGTCTATAAATATTATTAAAAATATTATTTAAAAACATTATTTTTGTACTTCATAACTAACAGGATTACAACTGTTTTGTTTTTAAGTTTGTATAGGATAAATAAAATAAAGTTGTGTTATGATGTTTGATAGATTATCACTTTTTAGGTACGTATATTTTACTAAAATATTTTAAGTTGACAGAATTTTAAAATAGTTTTGCTCATATTATACATTTAACAATCAACTGTCAACTTGTCAATATTCTTATCTTGTCTAGACAGTGGCTATGCACGTAACATTGTTACTCTCTTGAACTTTTTTTTTTTTTTTTTTTTTATTGAACAAAAAAAAAATATTATTTACAATCTATAATTACATGTATTACAATAAGTAAATGGGATGGGGATGATTAGCGGGAGGGGGAAGTCACCCAGTGGCGGCACCCCGAATCTTGAACTTTTATGAATTAATAATATTTAATAATGTGCATAAATCGGGGTAAAACGGATTAAATATCCATTATTACTTACGCTCGCTCATATTCAACTCGATCCAGAAAACCAAGGTGAGGTGCCAAGTTCCATTTTTTTTTAGTCGCTGCTGATCCTGTTCCCGGCTTTCTCTTATTTCTGGAATATGAATCACGAATATTCTTCCAGCGCTTTTTTGTATCGTCTACTAAATTATCAAATTGCGTTCAAGTAATTACATAAAAATTGTTAATTTTTTTAATAATCGAAAAGACTGAAATTTTTTATTTACCAGATTTTCCAATCTTGAGGGATATTTCCGTCCAGATACTATCCTTCATTATAATGTTTTTGTAATTAGCATCGGCCAAATCATACAAAATAGAATTGGCCTGTACTTCTTGAATAAGAATTTCATCCTCCGATGGAGAAAAAACTAATTTTGACGCCATATGATAAATTTGTATAGACAAATTCGACAAATCCGACAAATAAGACCATAGGGTCGTCACGACGTGTCGCGCGGTACTGATCTATGAGCAGTAGTGTCGTCGGTCGCGGCGACCCAAAGTTCAGTCGCCGCGACCTGTCGCGTCTTGCAAAACAGTTGATACTATTTTCCTATTAACAGATATTGACGACATGTCGCGGCGACAAGTCGCGGCGACAGGTCGCGCCTTGGAAAACGTACCTTTACGAACTTCACATTCTCGGGGACTAGTCCGCTTGCCCTAAGGTGCTCCTCTAGCCGGACGTACACATCCGACTTGGTCCCGGATGCGCTGAGGCCGCGGGCCGTGCACTCGCTACGTAGCTCCGCCGACGACAACTGCTGTAACGTTTTTTCCGACATTGTGTAAAATTGTTTACCGATGTGGTCGTTACGCTGTTGTATGGTCAGTGGATTGTGCTTGTTGCGCGGTGTGCACGGTTTTGAGGAGGCTTTTTGTTTTTTCGATAAATTTCGCGCGCTAGCTACGACAATTTATATATTTATTATTGTGTAACAGATCAGCTGACGACAGTGCCGCCGTTGCGTACCAAAAATAGTGGTACTGGGTCAACGACCTCGGTGGTGGCAGCTGTCGGCTGCGGCGGCTGAACCGGTTTTTGGCCTGCGCGCTCTGTTTTTATCGGCGATAATGTCGCGGTGCGAAAGGTAGGCGTTGCGGAGGGGTGGTGGTTGTTATATAACTACTTCCCAATCCGTATCACGGTTATGCACGGCTGCGCGGATTTCCCTGTTACGTACTAAAAATAATTGTTACGTAATGTTCTCTATGGGGTCCTAGCTAACCGGCAAACACACTCCTGGTCGAATAACTTATTACTAATTAAATATAAGCAGTTAATCCGAGGTATGTGTCAGCGTGAAAACTCTTACCTTGTCGCTGACTTGAGGAGATTCCTCTGCGGGGAGCCAATTTGACGCGGCTACGGCGGTGGTGGTCTGGTGTTCGCCGTGGGCAGGTCGTGTAGCGCCGGTGAGTGGCGCGTAGGTACGATATGAATAAAGTATACACCAGGATTAACAAGAGGTCCCTCGTGGAACGTATATTGTTAGCACTTATAACAATGATGATGACACAATAAAATACAATACGACTATTAATGTCGGACTACAAACGGTCGTCACGTGGTCCGTTGCGAGTTACGGAGGGTCGCGTTGTCGCCGTACGTGGGTATTCGTGAACCGTCAGTGGTCGAGAGAGAGAATTGCCGGCGGCCGGTACTCGTATTGCGCGACTTGCCTTCCCGTCCCGCCTTGTGCCTTTGTGGCGTGGTGGGAGAGTTGGCGATGTCGCGCTGTAGCCCGTGGTGGCGGTTGACAAAAGCGTAGACCGGCCGCTGCGGTACCTGTACTTTGTACTGGTTGCCGCTGCGTACCGTGTCAAAGTGTAGACATGAACAATGGTAGATTGTTAAAGCCATAGATAATACATATTATGTATTAAGAGGCCGTTCTGGTAGAAGTGAAAAATATACAACGCTCAAGAGATGGCGTTGTGCGCCGTATGCCGCCGTCGCGGTAGGCCGTAACCACGCACATCGTCTACGCGACAAAGTTCACGCGTCGTAATCACGGGAGCGGTACATCATTATTTCACGGATAGTCAATTAGAACGTTTCGCGTCGCAGTTCCGTAAATGATCGCCGCCCCATGTATGACTTATGTAGGTACTAGCATGCGGTACACAAGTCGCGACCTATTTTTTAATTAAAGTTCCTGTTTGCTTAAAAATATTAACCAATAAATAAAGCATACAAATTATTATACACCATAACTCGATTTATTTTCCTAACCCAATTACTTTTTTATATACATAAAAAATAATAGTTTCATTACGATTAAATGGATTTTGTAGTACCTAAATATATCGCGTATTTTACGTTGTAACTTATTGGCGACCTGGAGTACTTTTCGTACGATTGTTTGATCTCCTATATATACGTATTAGTACAATGTTATAGTTATAAAATATATTGATGTAATTAGGTACCTATATTTAATTAAAACATAATTTAGGAAGTTGATTGTTATTTGTTGTACACATGGGCGCCCCCCCCCCCCCCTGGAAAAAAATTTTATGAACTTGTAGCTCAATAAATATTACCACAATATTACCTTATTACCGAGGAAAATTATTTGTTGAAATCACTTTTAAGATATGAAATAAGTATAAAAATATACTCATTGTTATCGTATATTAACATCATAGATAGCCAGATAGGTCGTAGTCTGTAGTTCGTATAGGTACCTATACTCTGTCCAGCGAGAGAACGCACCTCGGCGGCGCTCAAAACTCGTCCGATTTCGCGCATTCCCACCACTTGCTCGTCCGTCGTACGCGGTCGTCGTCACCTCGGAATACGTCGACTGCGAGTCGGCGTGGTGGTGCTCACCACCGGTCGCCGCGTGGTGGGATAAATTCGCCTCGAGACGGCGAAACTCCGTCATTTGGATGCGCGAACGAGGTGCGTTCTCTCGCTGGACAGAGTATATACGTAAAATTATTTATCGCAGATAATTTGTGGTAAATCTATAAAGATCACAATATAGGTACTACAAATATTTTATCAGACAACATTAACTGCATTTTAGTCGTCCACTTTCTGTGTGACATTATATTTAGTGCTGACTGCTGAGTGTCATTAGTGATTATTATTTTTTAAAATTTTCAATTTTTACTATGGATATTAGATCGTTTTTAAGTAAAAAAAAATCTGATGAACATAATGCATCTGCTGTGCTTGAGCCACACACATCGAAAAATACAAGTGTTTCTGCTCAAGTAAATTCAAACCCGGAATGTTCTACGTCAATAAATACGGTACCTACATTAACTATTAATTATACGCCAAATGATTGTGAGTCATATCCAGATTTAGGATTTTATATTAATAAATCAAATTTATCAGATGAACTTAAATATAAATTACTAACAAAATCATATGTTCCTTCTGATAATTATGATTTTAAGAATGACAGTATTGCACAAAAAAGGAATTTTAAAATATAATGGCTTAAACAATATCGATGGTTAGTTTATTCTAGACATTTAAAAGGTGGCTTATGCAAACATTGTGTTGTTTTTCGTCCTGTCGTTAAAAGAGGATTATTAGGAGCGTTCATTGTAAGTGAATTTACCAAGCATAAAGATTTTCATTTTCACGCAAAAAAACATATGCAGTCTGAATGGCATAGGGATTCGGTTTCTCAATCAACAGATTTTTTAAAAATTATGTCCAACAAAGAAAAAAGTGTTATAGATCAATTAAATATTGCTCAACACTCACAAATTGAACAAAATAGAAAAAAGCTAGTCCCTATTTTGTCATCAATAATATTTTGTGCGACACATGATCTAGCAATTAGAGGCAAATTGAGCTGTAGTGGAAATTTTCATGATCTTTTAAAGTTTCGTGTTGAATCTGGAGATAGTGTTCTGTCTGAGCATTTATCAACATGTCATAGTAAAGCAAATATACCTCACATCGCATTCAAAAATGGAGTTCAGAAAATAATTTGTGATAAATATTCTAAAGCAACATTTTTCCACTGTGCTTCGCATAGACTCAATCTCGTTGTAAATGATTTGAATGCAGTGACAGAAATACAAAATACTGTAGGAGTAATTAAAGAGGTTATTAATTTTTTTCGTGAAAGTGTACTTCGTCGAAAATTGGTTACCTACAAATATACCACTTTTGTGTGATACTCGTTGGTCTGCGAAATATAAATCTATTCTCATTTTTGCTGAAAACTTTATTAATATTAAGTCAGTTTTAGAAAAACTATCTCATAATAATGACTCAGATTTTAAAGTTAACACCACTACTCGCACAAAAGCACACCAACTATCATGTGCGACATCAACATCACAATTTATTATATCTTTAAATATTATATCCAAATACTCAGCTCAATTAGAACCAGTTACAAATAAATTGCAGGCAAAATCTATTGATTTATACTCGGTCCAAAATCATATTCAAGATTTATTAACTATATTTAATAATAATAGAGAACAATCAGATATCGTTTTTAATGATATTTTTAATAACTCCGTATTTATGGCAGAAAAAATTGGCGCAGATATTAAAATTCCACGTATTACATCCAAACAAAAAAATAGATCAAATTACGAAACCGATTCTGCTGAACACTATTACAGACTCTCTATTTTTATTCCGTACTTAGATTCACTAATATCATCTCTTTCACGACGATTTTCAAGTACAAATAAAATAGCATTCTCAATAAGTCTACTGCATCCTACAAATATTAAAAAGTACACCATTAATGATTTCAAAGAAAAAATTAAGCTGATTAGTGATCATTATGAAATTGAAAATATGATAGAGGAATCTAATATTTGGTATCAGTATTGGATTGATAAAAATTTGACTGACTTCCAGTGTGATGAAATTTCGTTTGTAGATTTATTGGCTCATTGCGAATATTATCCTGCTATTTTTCAAATACTTAATATTTTTATATCACTGCCTCCGACAATGTGCACGATAGAAAGATCGTTCAGTACATTAAGACGAGTAAAAACGTGGCTTCGCTCGACTACAGGAGAAGATCGTTTAAATGGGTTGTGTATGATGAGTCTTCATCGTGAAAGATTTAACGCAAACAAGGATAATTTCATTCAGGATGTCATTAATATAATAATATGTTTGGAATAAAACGAAGAAATTTGCAGTTCTTATTTACTGATACCGAATAATATACTTAATTATATCATTTAATTTATATTTTTTATAATCTAATATAACATGCATGTATATATTTATATGTAAAAATAACATTAAATCTCTATTATCTTACAATCGAAAATTTTTTTATTTTGACCCCCCCTAAAATGTTACCTATGGGCGCCCATGGTTGTACATATTATAATATCTTTTAAATAAAGACTATAGGTAATTATTCACATTATTTAATTATTGTTGCAATTTGCAATGCAGTATGTATACTGTATGTAAGAATGCAAAACACAGGTTGTTTTTGTTTAATATATAGTGTTTCTTTATTCTTACGTTTTGGAAAAGAATTATTATTTTTATTCAATGGTTTACAATATATTCTTTTCTTTTACATATGCTCGGTTGAGCTACAGATATTTTTATTTTAATCCAAAATGTTTAATTTATTCAATCTTGCTTTACAGTATTTTCTTTTAAAGTACTACGCTCGTTGAGCTACAAATATGTTTTTTAAATGTGTAATGATAAATATAAATATTAAAGACTCACGTGGACCGTGAAAGTGAGAGAACAAATATAATGATGTTGTGTCCAATGACAGCCGACTCTGTTGGTGGTGCTGGACTACAACAATGAAAAGTGTTACCGGGCGGTGGCTATGACTCGTCCTCGGGGCACAGGTACTGGACTCTCCTTGTCGACTTGGTTCCAACGTTGTCGATGGTATTATGGTATTTATCAGTACAATATCATGCGTTTGTTGTCGTACGTCTGAACCGTCAATACGTCTGCGATACGTGGTGACGACGACAACATCAACGGGGATATGGCAATGGGCTGATAGTATTACAGCGGCGCGCTCGTTGTGGCGGCCAGTGTTGCCAGCTAAACATTTTTCAAATCCCACGACGAGTACTACAAATTACCACATTTTATTATAATTTCCCACATAAAAAATTTGGCGCTCGCTCACGCTCGCTGAGTACCTAACGCCTAACGCCAAATTATTTATTCATATTTTTATTCTAGATTACCATTTTATCAATAAAAGACATAATCAAATAACATCAATGTCAATATTTTATAATATTCATAGTTATTAATTATTTGCTCTTCAAATACTAACTATTCAACTATCTGCCTATAGATACTAAATAATAGTTAGATACTTCCCTTTTCCATTAATATTTTTCATATAAATCATTTTATTTTTATAATCAAGAATGTACTGTTTATAGTTTATTAATAATAAATACAACATATAACAATGTAAAAAATCCACTTTATATTGTTTTTTTTAATTGAGATAAACATAATATAACAAATGAAATATAACAAAACTCAATAAATAAAAATTAAAATTAAATCTTTTGAACTAAGAGTAACTTATCATACATTTCGCATATCAGTCTTTTGATTTACAGCTTATGTATGTACATAAAAATTTGATTTTATATTATTAGACAACATATTTTATATATTATATATATGAAAAACAGCCTTAAAAATTATATTATTTGTTTCATTAAGCAAATACATAATCCAACAAATAACAAATGCCAACAAATAAAAATTAAATATTTTTAAAAACTAACTCATAACAGTATTACACATTATATAGTAATAAATGGTAATAATAATATCTAATTAATAAATATTTAAAAAAAAAACTAAATTAGAAAGCAGTATTAAATAATTTATAAGTATAAATTGTGTGTGTTATGTAGAGCAATGTGGTGTTTATTAACCTTAAAGTTCATACAAGTTTGATTTTTATCCTGGAATGATGAGCGAATTATTGAAATTGAATTTAATGTATCATTTCCAATTCGATTCCTTTTTTTTGTCTTCACATCGTTAACAATAGAAAAAATTCGTACTGCTTCCGCATTGGAATGAGGCAAAGTTAATGCTAATCTTGCTAATGTACATATATTTGGGAACTTAGGGGAATCGTTCACAAAATTCTTCAATACTGAAATTTCTTTCCACATTTGAGCATTGTCAACCACACCAAGGTTTTTTAAATGTATAGTTTGAGAATTATTCAATGAGGAGGGAAGTTGTCTCCATTCATTTATAAGCTCAAATTTGTCAAAATAATTACCAAATTGCTCGCTAAGTAGAGGCAAATTATCAAAACCAGCACGGTTGTTTGCATCTAATGCAATTTCAGGATCTAAAAATTTGAATTCTTTAAACAAATTATTACTAATAGGTAGTCGTTTTATAATTTCTTCTGCTACTGTAATATAAAATTTTTGGCATTTTTCTTTAAATACATTAATATTATCAATGGGCTGTAAATTTAATAGTGATTGACATTCAGCACCTAAGAATACTTCTTCGACAGGCAATAAATTTGAAATGTGAAAATTTAAGCAGCTAATATTATCCAATAATGATGGTTTCACAAAGTTTTGACATATAATTTTCATTAAATTTAATGACTGGTCAAAAAGTTTGTGAATCATAATTTCTCTACTTTGAAAAAGAGCATTGAATGTATTTAGATAATTTAAAGCATATTTTAAAAATAAAAAATAGCATTTAGTGTATGGATTTAAAAGCTCATCTAATATTGTTTGCGCAGATTTTAATTTGTCCTCGAACAGAGCAATTCTAAAGTACTCAATGAGACTTGGCCAACATTCTAATACCCTGACTACACATTGGTGAAGTGCTAACCAACGAGTTTCGGCAAGCTTCAAAATTGTTTTACGCTGGTTATCAAAAAATTCTTGAATTTCAACTAATTGCGCACAACGCTTTGCGCTCCCAGATACATATGATGAAATTGAACGAATTAACTGTTCAACCGTTCTGGGAAGATTTAAACAAGCTTTTGACGCTACTAGTGCTGAAGAATGGCAGAAGCATTGCATTTTTATTACTTTTGGTGAATCTTCTACCATGCAAGTCATAAAATAATTGTGTATTCCAACCATTACCGCAGCACCATCACAAGCTACTCCGACGATATTGTTCAAAGGAATATTTTTTTTTAAAAGACACTCTTTGAAATGGCCATATATGCTTTTGGCTGAACAATTTATAGCATTGACTGGTACAAGTTCCAAAAGTTTTGTGTGTACCATACCACTGTTAGGATGTACAAATCTAACCAATAAACATAAAAATGTTTGGCATGTCAAGTCTGTACTCTCATCAACCAATACAGAGAATGGATTGTTTTTTATTATCTCAACTGTTTCATAAATTTCAACTGGTGCAATAATATTTTTAATGACACTAGTTACTTTGGTACGATGAAGATTTACACCTTTACAAATTTTTGAATCGTGGAAAATCTCTTTTAGTAAAGGAGTTAGATGGTCAATGGTGTGTAGAGCAACATTGTGTTCTGCTAAAAATGCTGCTAATTTGATTTCAGAGATTTTAATATTATTTTCTAAAATTTCATTTTCCTTACTTTTAGTGAATGACGATAACAGGGATTTTGATCCACGTAAACTTTTGACATTTGTTGAATGTTTAATACTGTTTGCATGTTTCTCAATCTCGCTTTTGCCACACATGATTTCAACATTACATGCAATACACTTGCATTTGGTTGGTTCAGATTTTACTTCTCTTAACCATAATTTATATTTCTCATCTGATAACCACTGTTGTTGAAATTGTTTTTTTCTGTATTCTCTATGACATTCTTCTTTTGAGAGTTCATTTCTCATTGCTCGTTTTTTTTTTGGTGTACTACATCGGTCTTTAGGGTCATCTGGATCAGAATAATCCATATTAATGTCTTAAACAAACGAATAACGATTATGAATAATTACTATAAGCAATAAGCATCACTTAAAACCATTGTGGTGACTGGTGAGTTACATAATTATTTGTAAACTTGATACTGATAAGTGATAACTGATTAGTGATGACCACGGACTAAGATATACAGGACTGGAAATGAGATAGTCATCTATGGAACTACAGTGTAACGCTTCTGGTACAAGTGCGATTTTAACGCCATCTATGATCCATTCTACGAAATATTAATACATCAGTGTCCAGCACGAATTAAGATTTTGGCATTTGAAATTGCTTCATTCCAAGCAGTTAAATTAACCACATCTTTTGGACTTTTAAATAAAGTGTATTTTTTTCCCTCTGAACATCCCGTACAGCCATCCACAGAGCATTTTCTCGGCATTTTAGCGAATAATAAATGGATAATATAGTTGGTAAAATGTAATGTACATTAAATACTAAATGCTAATACCTAAGAGCTAATAGGTGCGTATAAATCACGGACTAAGATAGAGTCACAATAGAGTTATCTTAGTTTATCTTATTCCGTGGTATAAATGTATTAAACTATTGTACCTAATTTTATTATAAACAGAAATAATATGCAAATAAATATATGTGTAACAAATGCTAAATATTATCAATAGATAGAGCCACATTTGTCCATGTACTACAAGCGTTACACTATGGTTCCGGCTACCCGCACTCCTCCCGTCTATCGTTTCCAGTCCGTGGTGATGACCATTTTGCACGTGATCTTTTGTGATTACCAATTACTGATAAATGATAATATTGAGTACCTAAATAATTATTGTATTTAATATTTTAATATAATATATTATTATATTTTTTTTTTTAATTTTCACAATTGTTTAAATTCCCACATATGGGTGATTTATTTAAAAATTTCCCTTTGTCCCTTTTACAAAATTTTATGATAGAATTTACCCGCGCCGTGGGAATTTACCACACACCTGGCAACACTGGTGGCGGCGGCAGTAACAACACTACACGCGGCGTGACGATAGTGGCGCTCGTGATTAGCGGCGAAAATAGTAACACGCGGCGTACGAATTTACGAGTCCACCGGTTGCGGCGGCGCGCTCGTCGTGGCGGCGGCGGCAATAGGGACGGACAACGACCACTGCAACTGGGCACCGGTGGCTTGAACAGTACGTTCTTAGGCGTACCACCACCGATACCTAGCGAGAGTGTTGTGGGGATCTTCCCCTCCGTCTACTGTTAAGTGTGAGTGGCTTGAACAGTACGTTTTGAGGCGTACCACCACCCACACTGTGAGTATAAGGAGAGGGCTTTGCGGGAGAAGACGGTTTTAAGTTACACACTGGTAATGCAAGGTGGTAAGTTAAAACGTGTAAGAAAACGGCGTATTGAATGTCGACTGTTTGTTGAATGTCGAATGTATGTGTGCTTAATGCACAGGCCGTGCTGGCTTATATTTCTGCTATGTTCGCATTACTGGTGGTGCGCTGTATGGACGGAAGTAGGTAGTTGATTACATCACGTTTATGTAAGTTGTAGACCTTCTACCCCGTGGGCGGCTATATGTATTTGGTGTGAAATCTTCTGGGGAAGACGATAGTCACAATGGTTTTACGGGCTGTTGTGGCTGTTTTCCGTAAAGTCATAGGAACCGTTGACGGTCGGAAAACCTGTGTGATGGCGCGCACTCTATGCGGCGTCATTGCGTTATTTGTTTTCTTAGTTTAAGTTGTGTTTTTTCTTAATATAAACTTCTTTGAGACTTTGTGGCATGTTGGTTGTGTTAAGGACGTTGTTCAACTTTAATTTGTATCGTTCACCGCACTTAAATAAGTCGTTAAAGTGAAAAGTTCATGATATGAATAGATATTCATGTCGGGGCGGCGGCGCGCGTCAATAGTTTTTGTTCACGCGTTGGCGCATACATAGATGGCGACACATATTTCGTCCTAATTAAATAGAATGGCAATTCTGCATCGTTACATGTATAGTATGTAGTATGTACCTTTTTTTTTTTTTTTTTTTTTTCGTTTTTGAACCGACGACGTCGCGGGAATTGCTTGCGCATTACTGCCGCGACATGTAGTATGTACCTATGTACAAAAAAACCGACAGTATACACTTAACATGTTCATCGTTTATAATATAATATATAATATTATAATCTATATAAATTAAAATTAAATTATGTAAGTACCTACACATGTGCAGAACACTTTTGATTGAGCTATTATAGTTAATTAAAATACACCATTTAGATTAATTACAATTTATTATAATTAATAACTTAAATTGATGCTAGTATTCGTAGAAAATGCGGATAACCAATGTATAATAATATAATGTATAGACACCGTGCAGCTGCTGAAAAATAACGAGCCCTAGTGGAGAAGACCAACACTACTGTCGTGAGACTGTTCTACTGGTTTTATGGAGAATTATTTATAAAATATGTTTTATTTCAAAATCTTTTGGATAAATTGAAAGTTTGAATGATTAATTAAATTATTCGAATTCTGCATATTTAATTTCTTAATATTTGTTTCATGATTATAGTTGTAATGTCATTTAATACGAATAAATAATAATGTGATGTATTTTTTATTATCATTAACTATATATTATCATTGTTGTGGATCTACCTTGATTGTGAATTTAATTAAATAATAATGATTAATGAATGGTGAATTGATAAAATGTATCATGTTAACAATCACAATTGACACAATTTAATAACTTATAATAATAAATTATTACATTAAATTATTACAATAAATTAATTTCTAATACATTGTCTAAGCATGAGTAATCAAACCATAACTGCTGTGTCGTTAATTGCAATTCAACATATTCAAATACATCAGATGTTGTGTTCTACAATTTCCCGAATAGGCCATACGAAAAAGAACGCAAATTGCAATGGGTTAAAGCTGTAAATCGACTTGAGTAAGTACTTTTTTATCTCGGATATTTTTAAATTGTCTTAATAGTGTCACACTTGTATACTAAAACACTGATTTAATTTTCTTTGATTTTAGTGACAAGGGAAAACTATGGTGGCCTAAACTACAAAGTTCAATTTGTTCAGAACATTTTATTGGAAAAAAGAAATCTAATCATCCTTTTAAGTCCATCATATAATCCATCAATATTTCCAGAAAATTATAAAAAACAAAAATGTAATTCTGTACAAAAAGAGGATAGGTACAAACGAAATTTGAACAGAAATTTTACAATTACTCACATGGACAATGAGCTCATTGAAAATCCTGTTGAACAGTTCTTAGACCAACCAATTATTTATAAAATAGATAAAGGTTCTCAAGCTGCATTTGATGTAAATGATACTCAGGATTTTGTATTTTCTTGTTGTTTTGATGGTAAGAATTTGTCTACACAAGTACCAATACCTTCTGTTTCAAATAGGTAGTTTAAATTCTGATTGTAAACCAAAATTAATTGATCAAAGTAGTGGCGTTGACTCAAGTAATAATTTATCATGTTTATACTGTGAGGCGTTCCATGGGTTTCAGTCTGTTAAAAAATGAAAATTCTTTAAAAGATTTAACAGGCACAACATTTAAAATATTTAATATCTTACTCAAATTTATGCCTAATAATAATCGTTCCTTAATTACCAAAGAAAATTGCTTATTATTATTCTTGATGAAAATTAAATTGGGGATCACTTATTCAGCTTTAGCTGTGTTTTTTGGTATACACAGAACCACTGTAGCTAGAGTTTTTTCAGATACTCTTTCAATATTAAGTGTACAAACAAAAGATTTTATTTTTTGGCCAAGTAAAAGAACTGTTCAATCACTATTACCAAAAGCTTTTGAAATAAATTACCCAAATTGTAGGTGTATAATAGACTGCACTGAAATAAGAGTTGAGCAACCTTCTACTGCAGAGCAAAGAGTCTATTTATATTCAAGGTACAAGAGTTGTTATACAATTAAGTTTTTAGTAAGTATAACACCCAGTGGTATGATAAACTTTTTGTCAAAATGTTATGGTGGTAGGTCTAGTGATACTTTTATTACCACCGATTGTGGTTTTCTGTCATTACTAGAACCGGGTGATGAGATTTTAGCTGATAAAGGGTTTCCAGGAATCATAACAGATTGTGAAAGGCAGAATTCAATTGTGATAATGCCTCCATTTCTTCACAACGGTAGGTTCACTGAGGATGAAGTTCTTGAGACACACAATATAGCTAGTGTCAGAATTCATATTGATATACGATATACTTGTATATACTGGAGTTATCGTTAGTGATCGAGGTTATCAATGATGCTGGGCCATCAAATAAAACAACGAAATCTTGTTCTTCACAATTAAAATGGTTATTTGTCCATACGGTTTCACCTTTAAACGTGTCAATACCATAGTTATCGGATAATTTCATTTTTGTACCCGACGGAAGTATAAGAGTGTTATCTTTGGTATTTGCTATAGCCGAACCTTCTGATAAATATATTTTGAATTTAGCTTGTACTACGACGTCTTCCCATTCTCCTCTACTCGATTTAAAATTCATGCCTCTACAATTTCCAAATCTGTCCAGTGATCCTGCCACTGTGTGCGATATTAATGTTGTTTCGTTCATTTGCAAATCCGTTACTATACCTCCCAGGGGAAATGTATATGAACGTTTTTGATGAATTTCCGAACATCGAGCATTTCCTAAATCTACGACTTCAGAAAAATACCCTCCCTCTACTAATTGTGCATCTTCAAATAGTGAGCATCTTTTTATTAAATAATCAACTGTTATCAAACACGACTTAAAATGAACAGGGTAAGTTTCAATCCTTTGTAGTAATTGTATTTTCGGTACCTGTTGGGTTGTTGATGCTATTGGAAAATCACAGTTGTCCACTTCTAAGCTGTCAAAGGACGTGACATTTTGAGCAGGCCCATGACAATCGTACGCAATGAATCCGAAAGTGAAATGTATGATTGTAATGATGACGAGTATTGTATGTTTGATGCACATTTTGATTGGTTTTAACCTATTAAAAGTAAATAAATTAATCCAAGAAAATAAATGGTAATCATAAAATAAATATAAGGCCTGGAATTTCATATACTAAAAAGTATTGAAAAAAGCATGCATTTATGCAAACAAAAATAATGTATGATATATTATATTCTAAAACTTATTCCAAATATTACAATTGAAAATTGGCGATTTTGATACATTTTCAAAGAAAAATTAACGTCGGTTAATGGCCAATATGTTTTTATATACTGAGAAACTCCGCAACACGTAAATTTACCGACGAAATTAGTGGGTGCGTATTTAAAATACAGAGTGGCAATAATAAGACCTGATAAATGAAATATATTATTAGCCGATTACTCTTGTGTTACATGGATAATATAACCTTTTTCATTTTTATTTCTTAATACTGAAAATAAAAATTTTAGATCTGATACAATTTATTTTTGGAAAATTTTTTTTTTAAAAAAACTGGAAAAATTTAAAATATTTAAAATTAAATTTCATTTTTGTATAAATTTAACTACATACGTGGAATTTTGTTTTAAATTTTCAATCCTTAGACATAAAAGTTGAATATTTTATACATTTTTAACTATATATTTATTTTAAATTTGATCTTTAAATGCTTATAAAAAAAAATTGTGCCTGTTTTTTTTTTTTTTTTTTCAACTGCTATTGTAACAATATATCAGGAGCCTTGTATTACATTTAACACTTTTTGGCACAACAGATAAAACTTGATGTTCATAGAAAAAAAAAAATTAAAAAAATTGAAACATGACAATGCCCGTAAACAGCTCAAAAAGCGTCAAAATACTTTGAAAACATTTCAGTGAAATTTGCATGTATCTAAAGATATTCGTTTTTGAATTATATCAAAATAAAAAATCGTTACATGAGAAATCGAATGAATAACACATTTTGTAAAAATATGAATTTAAAATGATCATAAAAATTTAATTTCACTTTCCGCTATACATTTTTTTTTTTTGATAAAGGTAGACAAACCTATGAAAAATCTTGTTTTACATTTTCAAATCTTAGATTAAAAAAAAAAAATTTATGAATTTTTAACTAAAAATAATTTGCAAATAAAAAAATTAAAAAAAAACACACATCATTGTAAGATCAATACATTAATCGCTCCACTCAGAATCTAAAATTAAAAACACAAGTCATTGTACAATTAATAGGTACCTATACATTCTATGGTCCACTCAGAATTAAAAACATAATTATTTATAACAAATTAATTTAATTTCCCAAAATGTGGATAGTTTTGCATAGTACCTATGTCATTGAAATAGAAATTTTAATACAAACATTATATTCAGTGAAAATATCATGTAGGTATCTACAGTAATTTCGACTACCTACTATTATCGTGTAAGCAGACACAAAAAATAAAATACACATATCAGATCACTCCGCTCAGTATCTAAAATGTTATACAGGGTGTCCCACCGAGATATGAAAAAAAAATAAAAAAATAAAACTGCTACTTAAACGTGTAACAAAAATTGCTAGTACTATGTGATTACCAAATAATTTAAGAAATATACTCATGTCAGCAAATTTACGGCCGAATTTTCGTACCAGAACGGCCTCTTAACATATAATAAACATATAATATATATTCAGTACCGGATTTATAGAGAGGCGATCCGGGGCCCATGCCCCAGGCGCTAATCATAGAGGGGCGCAAATTTCAAATTTTAAACTCATCATTTTTATTACATTTTTAAAACAAATTGAATCTTTTGTATTGAATTACACTAGTATTTAAAATTAAAAAAAAAATACACATCATTGTAAAATCAATACCTTCCTCACTCCGTTCAGAATCTAATAGTATTAATTCAACATGCATTTTTTATTGGTAAATTTTAGGGGCGCTATCATTATTTTGTGCCCCGGGTTACATAATTTGTAGATCCGGTACTGTATATATTTACATAGATATTAAATAATATATATAATGCAATATCAAGTTATAATTATATGAGAAAGGACATTTTAAAAGGTAAACAGATTTTTAGTTACCTTTATAGTATTCGCTGTTGACTCATTTAACAGAGATTTATTCTCCAATTGACCAATAACATCATTAAGAGATTCAACTTTTTTTAATAAACGTTTATTTTTTTGATTTAATAATTTATTTGAATAACTCAATCTTTTGACCGTGTTTTTAACTACAGCGAAATTGCGTTTAGCTTTTGGTGTAGAAAAATGTTTGTGAGTCATCAACCGATTCTCGAAGAAGACCAACATTTTCTTAGTTTTGGAGTAGCCATTTCATCTTCTGAGATTGGATCACTAAAATATTAAGCAAATAAGTCAATAATTCAATTCAAATAATATATTTACTATACATACCGTTTGTGCTTATCAAAATCTGCTACATCAGGAGTTGATTCATTTTGTAGAGAAGTTCTACAAACGATGGAATTGTCAATATCATCATCATCAGTTTGACTACTAAAATATTAAACGTTCAAGATAGTACAATATTTAAAATAATAAGTTAATTGAAAATACACACCAATCAAGTACGTCAACACCCAAATTTGTAATAGTCACCGTTTCAACAGACAAATATGTACAAGGATAGCTATTAGGTGATGCAGAAGGTGTATTCATACTACAATATTTCGAACGATTTGCTGCTAAGGCCTGTCATTTTTTCTAATCATTTTTTTAATTTGTTGCATATAATTTTTATACTTAAATGTAGAAAAGTTATCTAATGAACTATACTTTTCTATATCTTTTGTCAAATGAACAAGAGCATGTATACTATGGGAAACATGGTGAATCCCATAAATATCTTTGAACGTTTCTACAAAATGGCGCAATCAACTATTGCAATATTCCAAATACTCAGATATATTACAATATTTGCTTGCACACAGAAATCGAATGACAACATGTAAACATAAACAATTTTGAAATATATCATTTTTTAAATGATTTTTCAGTATAACAGCACCAAAATACAACTAAAACATCCTTAGCTCGGTTGATTTCCACTGCCTAACATATTTAATGAACGTGGTTTTCTCTGGAACTCTAACGATATATAAGGTGAGATATATTTTTTTATATCTGTAGAAATAGCTTCATGTTTTTTGAAAGACAGCCTCACTCGAAGACTACCTGTTAGCCATAAGGTTAATAGTTTTTTGGTGACTCCTAAGCAAATTAAATGTTGGTAGCATACTAGCATCAAGTCCTTGTTTTGGAGATTTTCTTAAGCATAAAAGTTTTGTATGCCATAAACTCAGTTACGTTTTTTTCAGTTTAAACATAAGTAGGAAGGTAAAGATGTACTAAATCATCAAAACCCTCAGATTCATGATCATTCGAAAATAAACATTGAAAACCTTGAAAAGTTATTGTCAAATACAATGAAACAAAATTTATTAATTTTTGAAATAACTTAAAATTATATGATGTTTTATTTTTATTTTTAAAATAGTACTATTCAAGTATTCAATTATTATTTATCGAAGTATGAAACAAAACTCAAAAAATACTACGGTGTGCCAAAAACCTTTCCTCCAATTGGTTTTTAAATAAATCAATATACGAGTAATTGAGACATATAGATACTCGGAAATATTGCTCAGGATCGGGTGTAGAACCATCATCTCTTAAAAATTGAATTATCTCTATATGTATGTCTCTTGTTAATCCGTTTAATTTTGATATGAAAATCCAAGAATTCAGCAAAGCCATTACTTAATCAAATATTAAAATCTAAATGTTTTACTGCAGTTAAAATTGTACACTTCCATATTTAACTAAAATTATAAAATATTTAAGTCTCAATCAAAGTGAATCATGTATTGTTTACCTGTGCTTTTTTGAACATTCTATTAAATTCTGTACTAATATTAGCTCTTAAATTTTTAAGTACGGCAGTGGCGTATTTACGGGGGTGGTCCAGGGGTACTGGACCCCCCCCAGAATCTCTCCAAAAAAAAAAATGTATTAGATATTTGCAAACCCCGATATTTATGTAAGCCCACGCAGACAAGGTTTTTTCCCGTGAACAAAATATTTATATGAAATATTAGTTTAAAATTAGCCAACGACCGAACGTTCAAAAACCCGTGTAACTAAACTTATCCTTGTATTGTAGTATTACACTTTATAAAATACCCATATTAGATAAACATCAATAATTCTCAAAAAAGTCAAAACATTCTTATCGCAAGAAATTGACGACGCACATCATTCTCCAATAAACTATTTCTATAGGACAGTATAGCTGGTAGCTATTATTTATCTATTTGAATTTTTGCTTTGTAAACACGGCAATTGTCGTAGAATCATTTACTAATATTACTTCATGTTTGTATTTTGTTACCGAACGACGGAGTCGGCTACGAGTGCAGCATGTATTTGAATATTATTTCTTCAATAAAATATATTAGATCTATTACTTATGTAAGTACAAATTAAATATACACCTAGTAAATTATGTAGTAAATAATAATAATAGCTCATTGATCCGATGTGAGCAGTAAAGAATTTATTATTTTTTATAATAACATAAAACATTAATGCAGTGCTGTAACTAGGCTACTTGAGGTCTGTGTGCAAAACCAAAATATTGAGGCCCCTTATTATCTTTTTCAATACACACCTCAAAAACTTTTTTTGCAATTTTTAAAGTCAGCAGGCAAAAATTCGGGCTTAAACAAAAAAAAATTTAAATTTAAATTTAAAATAATCTATAATTTTAAAATAATTTCTCAAGGCTATAAATAACTCAAAAAAGTAAAAATTTCCAAAATGTAATTTATTGAAAATATTAATATAAATATTTGGTGAAAACTTCAATGGTCTACGGACTACGGTTGTTCGTTTTCGAGTTATACCAAAAAAATAACATTTTTGTTTTAGGTAAAAATGACAATTTTTTTTTTTTTGACACTTTTTAATATTTAAAACTAAAAATTTCGGTTTCGATCTAAAAAAGTACCAACTAGATTCACTTTTCTAACAGAAAAAATGCTGATCTCGAAATTCGAAATATTTTTACTACCCAATGTTGATGACCGACAGAAATGAAAAAAATTATACACATCTTGTAAAATCAGTACATTTGTTCGTTCCTCTCAAAATCTAAAAACAGTGATCACGACTCCAGGCAATATAAAAAAAAAAATGAAATAACATTGGTTTCGTTTCCAAATCAATAATAAATAATTTATATATTTTAATAATTTTATATTAGTTTAATATTAGTCTTTAGATCTTTTGAGGCCCTTCGATATATATATGAGGCCCGAGGCCTGTGTGCGGTGCACACTTTGCACACCCGGTTTTTACGGCACTGCATTAATGTAATTTTTGGAGTCTACTGGCCGACAATTAGTATTCATTTAGAACCATGTTTACCTACTTAGTATTTATTTTCTGTGCAGAGGTTAGCAGAGTGATATGGACGACTGTCGTCATAAAGTCATCATCGGCGTAAATAGGGGGGGGCTAGGGGGGGCTTAGCCCCCCTGCAGTTGTATTTAGCCCCCCTAGAAGGTTTTACATTTTAGCCTCAAATCGAGCCTGTAGCTAAAACCCAAATCCGAAAAAAAAAGAAAAAAAATGTTTAAAATAACTCATATGTCATAACTCATAACCAGGGCTCGGAAGTTGTGGCAAATGCATATTTTTTTTGGTTTGTCCTAGAACACCCAAAGTAAGATACAAATATGTTTCACACTTATCTGATGTCATACACGAAATTTTATTTTGCCATTTTTTGCATATTTATGATTTTTATTGCTATTTTGTCATTTTAAGGTTTTTAGTGCTATTTTTGGGTATATTATCAGATAATTTGGAAAATAACCACATTTAGTTGAAAATAATGATTTTATTTGGTTATATTTTTAAATTTTATTTGGTTATATTTTTTATAATTATATAACAGTATAGAAATTGGCAAATGTAATTACTAATTATTAATAAATAATAACGTTTAATTTTTTTTTGTAATGAATAATAATTAATAAAATTATAACATTTAATTTTTTTTTTTGTAATAAATTTATAATTATAATTTTTTCAAGTTAAATGCATATTTTTTGATTTTTCGTGCTATTTATAGCGCATATTTTAGAGTTTTTTAGTGCTTATTAAGGAGCTAAAAATTACCATTTTTAGTGCCACAACTTCCGAGCCCTGCTCATAACTCATAATAGTCATAATTAATAATTAATATTTTATACATATTGATATTGTTTTATTGTGGATGTACCAAAAACAAATTTATAAGTAATTGGTTACCTATAGTTATAGCGGAAGAAATTGTCTTGACGTATTGTATTGAGTCAATAAATACTAATGAGTAATGACATATCACAATATATAAATTATTAGGTATTGTTCACATATGGCTAAATATGGTACATTAACTATTGAATGTACGACGCGGGTATGAGACTTATTATGAATTATGATTGTTTATCAGTTAAAAGTTTTACACAAAGTATTTTATTTATAGGATTGTATTGTATGTCCCGAAGACCAAAACCCACTTATTATATTTGTTATCTTTAAATGGGTACCTAGTACCTACCCGTATTAGCGTATTTTTGTATAGTCATATTAGTTATATCGTACAGCAGTTACTGGTTAGTGATTATAGTACTATTATATAATATTTTCTATGCGACATGCGTCTGTGCAGACTGCGAATAGGTATTACTATTTACTGGTATAATTAGTGTACTAGACAGTGTCTCAGTAACAACTATTTTTTTTTGCGTATATGTTAAATTTATTGAATTTACCCATTACCTATTTATTAAAATGTTCAGCATATTTGAATCAAAAGCAAGTAGTGCTAAGAAAAATAATAATGATGCACCAAAAAACCAATCATCAATGAAAGTCTTACCAGATATACAAACAATTGAGGTGATACGATTTACGTAATTATCTATTTATTAATTATTAATTATAGGATAATTATTATTTGATATTTCTGTTTAAATTTCATTTTAAATTTTAATTATTGAACTGCAGGTTCTTGGTTATAATCAAAAACAAGTTGCTGAATCAACAAAATCAGAATGTGAGATAAGCACTTTAAATATTAATTCAAAAATTATTAAAGATAGTAATAATGTGAGCGATTTGGGAAACAAAGAAACTGGTCCTGTAAAACCGATTTTAGATGTGAGTTGTAATAATTTACCAATATTCTATTAATTAAGACCATAGTCCATAATGTTTGTAATTATAAAATAAAAATAGAGGTATTTGTTAACTATTTAATACCTAATTAAAATACTTTTAGTTCACTATTTTTACATTACCTATACAGAATATTTTTTTTAAACACCCAAATCAAAAACTTTATACCTATATAATATTATTATAATACAGTAACTACTAACTATACAGAAATTACCTATGTTGTATTATTATTACAAATTATCTATTATATTTAGGCTTCTATCTATTTATTTATAAATAAAGAATGTATAATAATAATGAAGTAATTTTTCAAAGGTGTCATAAGCAAGAGCAAATGTCTATCTGTATTAGATACACAAAAGATTTTGAAATTCTTGAACGTTTTCTGGGCTTTGTAAATGTATCACAGAGCCAAACTGCTGCTTCAT